TCTTTCGGCGGCACAGGACTGGCTTACGGTGCTGCTGGATTTATGAGTGGAAATGGTTTTAATGGATTCACCCTAGTACCTACTTGATGTTTGCCCATGTCAGGAGAAAACTCGCGCTATCTGGCAAAATAAAACATAGTTGGAAATCCCCATTCAGAAGAGAACCAGGAGTAGGACAAAGAAAGGACGACGCAGGTCAGGTGGGAGGTGCATCGGCAGAGCTGTGTAGGTATCGAGCACAGGACTCCCGTACTCTGGTGATGGCCAGAGGATGAGGGCTCAGGATTGGATGTTCCCCAGCAGTTCCGGAACCGCTAGGCATGGGGGACTGGATAAGAGTGAGGTGTGCTCACAGAGCGGTCTGCGGGACTACGCTGCTCCTGATCTGAACTAGGGATGAGAGCGTGTAACCAGTTCCCCAGGGAGCAGCCTGCTGCAGGGACAGGGCTGTTCTAGCCCTGAACAGCTGGCAGTGGTGGCTGGGAGTAGCCCCAATGTGGGTGCTGGGAGCTGGCTGCCCCATGGGCCAAGGGGCCTGAACAGTGAAAGTCCCCTAGTTTGTTAAGTTAAACATTAGATTAACCGGTTAACTGATTAACTGGGATTTTACATCCTTAATTTGAACCAGTACACTCATCCTTTAGCTTTTGTCAGCACTAATGTTCATTTAAATCCATTTCCAAAGGCAGGCAGTTGGATAATTCTGCTGGGCCTTTGGGAACCCAATTTTAATTCCAGTCTGAGGGCCTCAAATGAATAAGCGGGTTTGTCTCCATTTAAACAAGCAGACAGGAAATCCATACTAAAATTGTGTTTGCAGAAATCAAGGCTTTTCCTGGAATACCGGTATTACTTAGTGACCCGGAAGCAACCTCCGGCTATCAGTGACAGGAGTCTGGATTCTGAAAGCATGCACATGCGAGAGAGATCAATGTGCTTATTGCTCTTGGTCCCAGTTAGTGCAACTGGGGAAAGCTGTGGTCTTCCCCACAGGGGTGATCCTAAAGGATTCCTATCTAAATACAGTGGCATGTATAAACCTGGCAGCAATCCACAGCTTCCCTGCCGTGTTTAAATTTACTGTCATCATTAAGGGCAGTCTCACATGTCAAATGCAAGGCAGCTGGTAATGGATTTCGCACAAGCTGGAGAGGAGTTAACTGAAATGCGGGGTATTCATCTTGCTTAAGTAATTATGTTTGCAGGAAGAATACCAGTACCAAGAGCCAGTCTGTTCTAACATATGTCACCTTCCTGCTCACCCCTCTCCCATTTAACATATCTGGCCAGCAGCATACAAGAAAAGCCAGTCTGGCTTGTTACTCAAGATGCAAAAGAAAGCTACAGCAGGTTGGGAGGGAGTCCACAGGGTAATCAATACCCGTCTTTGTAGGCAGCGCTGAGTTCCTGCTGTCCCAGTTCCATTTGCAGAGCCTACAGCATGCTGTCCTGAGCTGTGCAGTGGAGAGAATTTTCTTTTGAGTGTTATTGGCTGCCTAGAGTGAGAACAGTTTCCTTGACAACATTTTTCTTAATGGGATCTTTTTCTTTCCCCCCATGGCTGGAGGTTTGGACTTGACTTTGAATCCCAGGCTATGTTCATAAAGGATGCCAGGATTAATATGCCAAAAGCGGGGTTTAAAGGCATGTGAGAAGGGGTAATAGTAGACAAGGAAGATGGTGCAGCTAAAAGTAAAAGTCTCAAAAGGGCTGCCATGTTAGTCTGTAACTTTAAAAACAATGAGTAGTCCTGTGGCACCTTAGAGACTATATATATATTTGTTAGTCTCTAAGGTGCCACAGGACTACTCGTTTTTACAGCTAAATGCAACAACATGGCAAATGAAATTTAATGTTGATAAATATAAAGTAATGCACATTGGAAAACGTAATCCCAACTGTATATACAATATGATGGGGACTAATTTGGCTACAACTACTCAAGAGAGAGATCTTGGAGTCATTGTGGATAGTTCTCTGAAAACATCCACTCTGTGAAGCAGCAGTGAAAAAAGCAAATAGAACATTAGGAATCATTAAAAAAGGGATAGAGAATAAGACAGAAAATATCTTATTGCCGCTATATAAAACCATGGTTCACCCACATCTTGAATACTGCGTACAGTTGTGGTTGCCTCATCTCAAAAAAGATATATTGGCATTGGAAAAGGTTCAGAAAAGGGCAACAAAAAGGATGAGGGGTTTGGACCACATCCCATATGAAGAGAGATTAAAAATATTTGAACTTTTCAGCTTGGAAAAAGAAGAGACTAGGGGGGGGGATATGATAGAGGTCTATAAAATCATGACTGGTATGGAAAAAACGAATAAGGACAAGGTATTTACTTATTCCCACAAAATAAGAACTAGGGGTCACCCAATGAAATTAATGATCAGCAGGTTTAAAACAAACCAAAGGAAATTTTTCTTCACTCAGTGCACAGTCAACCTGTGGAACTTCTTGCTAGAGGATGCGGTGAAGGCTAGAACTTTAAAAGGGTTCAAAAAGGAGCTAGATACATTCATGGAGGTTAGATCCATCAATGGCTATTAGCCAGGATGGGTGGGAATGGTGTCCCTCGCCTCTGTTTCTCTGCAAGTGCGAGACAGGGGAGGAATCACGTGAAAATTACCTGTTGTGATCCCTCCTTCTGGGACATCTGGTATTGGCCACTGTGGGCAGACAGGATACTGGGCTAGATGGACCTTTGGTCTGACCCAGTACGGCCGTTATGTTCTTACGGACTGCACATTGATAATTAGCAGATGTCATTAGTTGTGTGATTTGCTGCATTATTCTGGATTTCTTTTTGGTGGGGTTGAGTGATTTTTGCCAGCATGTTTTCATTTTAGCATGTTAAGGGGTGGTATAGAGATTACATGGGTCCTGGGAGCACTTTTCTTAAGGATGGCAGATCAGTGGAGATCGCAACCAGATAGTGGTCTACATTACAGTAAGTTGTCACTTGACTTGTATTTTCATCTCCTCCAACAGCATTAAAACCTAGCAGTGGGTCTGTTGGCCGTGAATTTAATCTCACCTATAGCTCTGATTTGCCAGTCAACAGAGCTACCTCCATCAGTCTGTCTCCTTATGGCAATGGATAGATTAGCGGTGGCTGGAAGTTTTCCAACAAAAGTTTTGTCAGAAAATGCTAACTAGTGGGGATCAATATGTTCTGTGGTAACTTGTGAACTTCATTGCAACTTTTGACAAAGTTTAGACTATGTCCCTGCCTGGTTTCCTGCTAACTTGCCCAACTCCTGGGGTTTCCCCCCTCCCTGAACTCCCAACTTGCCAGCATCCCACTTGGTGGGCTGCCCAGCTTCCAAGGCAAGAGACTCCATGGCTATCTGGTTTCCGAGATTGCAGACTCACCAGCTGGCTGTCTCCCTTGGCCGTCAACTTCCAGGCAGTATGGTTCTAAGATTACTGATTTCTTGGTAGGCTCCCCAGCTCCCCAAGGTACATAGGGAATCAGGCAGCTACCTCCCCAGGCAGCCAGCTCCCTGGCAAGACAGCTCCCTGTCCAGAAATTATTGTGGGCAGATGCTGTCTAGACCCTGATCTCATAATGCAAGTAAAAAATAAAAATAACTACTCCATGAAATACAAATTTTGGTCAGGAAGTATAGATGAAAAACCTCTGAGTCATTTAAAGTTATTCTGAACTCTGATTCTGGAAGTGGGGGGTTTTGTTTAATAGCTTTCAACAGTGCTGTAAAGCAGCAGCCAGAATCCACCAGCACCAATATTCTCAGAGGATAAACTTTGTATCTTTTCTACATGTAATGATAGAATTTCTGCTAGCCATATCCAAGAGAGCCAACATAGAAGATTAGGCTTATGACTCCTGTTGGCATCTAAAAGGCCTTTGCTGGTGATAAAACTGGGCTGAACTACCTGGATTAGATTAAGTATGAGACGTTTTAATCTGTTTTTGGCTAATATTTTAGTTAATATTGGGCCTGAACTGAGCAGAGAAACAGCTGCAAAATGAAGGGTTAGTGACATCTTATTGAAATACCTCCTCAGAGCCAGTTGTCCAAAATCAGAGGTGGTTTTCTATTTAAGGTGATTGCATCCAGACAAAATCTCCAAGGACTGTTAAAATGCCATTGGTTAACTGTCCAGAGCAGAAGATTTATTTTTTTAAACAATCCTATTCTTCTGGATGTCACCAAGGGATGCTGGTGGCAGGTGAGTAGAATTTTACCCAGTCGTAGAAGAAAGTTTCGGGCAGTTTACGGTTTTTAAAAGCTATAATGGTTTCTAGAATCTCTCACACATACTACAGAATTTGTGGTCAATGTCAGAGGAATTGGTGATTTTCCAGCCAAAGTCCCTATATTTGCCTGGATCCTAGCAGCTGGTCTTATTTGCTAGCTGCAGAGTTAGATGGAACAAGTTCTGCTGCCTTTTGCATGGTGTTTCTGTTTCTCTTATCACCATTCCAGACAAAGGGCCATAATCATCCATCCTCAGTCTCCTTGTCTAAGGCGAGATTTTTTTTCTTAAGGCCTCACTTCCCAGCAGGTGCTGCCCTACTCATGGTAGCTGTAGGCTAAATAAGGATCCCGCATTTAAACTCTTGTCACCTAACCCCATTCTGAAGCATCATAGTTTCATCACATTACCTGAGCATTTACTTTGGCAGGTCTCACATTGATTAGACAATGGCAGGAAATCATAGCCAAAACTCTGCTTATGTCATTTAATTTTCTCTTAGCAGAATGTTCAGTGTGGTTGGAAACACGTGTCCGGGAGACGGGATTCCAGTTTGCCTACACACTGGGAGTTCCAGTGTGCTCTTGGCCAACGCATATAATCACTGTGCCTCAATTTCCCCTGTTGTAAAATGGGGGTAAAAATATTTACCTAGCTCACAGTGCTATTGTGAGAATTGGAGGCGGGTCTAGAACAAAAGATGCTATTGACACAGATGCAACACATTACTAATTACCTCCCTTCCAGGGCTGAAGTACAAATGGGGAGAAAGTTAATCCACTTCTAAAAACTGCTCAATTTTCACAGGAGCTTCAAGGGATTCCTGAATGCCGTCAGTTCTATGCACAGAGTCAAGCCAGTCCAAAGAAATCAGCTAAGGAGTCCTTTATTGAAATCATGCTGATGCGACATGTAGATCTGCAGAATCCTGCAAGGTGCTGAGTGCCTCTTTTCCTATCAGTTCCCTAGGGGAAGAATCCTGCAAGGTGCGGAGTGCCTCTTTTCCTATCAGTTCCCTAGGGGAAGAATCCTGCAAGGTGCGGAGTGCCTCTTTTCCTATCAGTTCCCTAGGGGAAGAATCCTGCAAGGTGCGGAGTGCCTCTTTTCCTATCAGTTCCCTAGGGGAAGAATCCTGCAAGGTGCGGAGTGCCTCTTTTCCTATCAGTTCCCTAGGGGAAGAATCCTGCAAGGTGCGGAGTGCCTCTTTTCCTATCAGTTCCCTAGGGGAAGAATCCTGCAAGGTGCGGAGTGCCTCTTTTCCTATCAGTTCCCTAGGGGAAGAATCCTGCAAGGTGCGGAGTGCCTCTTTTCCTATCAGTTCCCTAGGGGAAGAATCCTGCAAGGTGCGGAGTGCCTCTTTTCCTATCAGTTCCCTAGGGGAAGAATCCTGCAAGGTGCGGAGTGCCTCTTTTCCTATCAGTTTCCCTATTCAGCACTGTACCCCAGTGGGCCCTAGTAAATTAGAAGCAGAGAAAAAAGATCCTCAATCACATAATTTATGTCCTTAATACCCAACATGGTGATAAGCAACTTTCAGGGGAACTCTTCCCACTAACCCCATTAACTGTCTGTGCCTAATTATCGCTCCCCAGTGGTATCTGGGGTAGATAGTTAGAAGTGACATTTATAAGACTCAAAATGGGATTTTAGGGGAAAGTAAGCAGTTTATTGACATCAGCAGAGTGCACAGCAGGGAGGATGGGAGGAAATAAAGGGCTTGAAAATGGAGGCTATTAAGAAATTGATTGCAGCTGGTCAAAAACATTCCAAGGGAAGAGTTTTCTGTTGGAAAATGCAGCTTTGTCAAAACAGCCATTTGTCAAAGAGACAGGGCAGGGAAAGACTGGAGCAAGGAGTCTGCGTGGGGAATCTAGGATGAGAACCCACCCCAGGAGCGGAGTGGGACTCGAACAGCAAACTCAAAGAGTGAGACTAGGGCTAGCAGGGTGAACAGACTGGCAAGAGAAGCCCACATATAGACAAGAATGTGGAGCCAGCTTCCAGTCATTTATTTTCTGATCTCCACTGGGGACTGAAACCACGCATCAACGCACAGGTGAGGAAATCTGATAAAAATTAGAAATCTAGTACTGATCTGTGAGTAATGTATCTGTTTTCTTGGGGGGGGGGGGGGTTAGAAAGTAGAACTCCTGTTACATGGTAAACTGTACATCTCTATTCCATGGAGCTCCCCTTACAAATGAAGTGAAACCGATTAAAACCCAAGGCTTTAGAAATTTCCCCATGGAGCTCCCAGACAACGTTTTAATTCACACACTGCCAAGTGGCACATTGTCTAGTCTTGTCCAGGAGACGCGAGATTTGCAACAGATCTTTTTACAGCATTTGGAAAGGCTGCATAGAGATTTCAGGGGGGTTTTAAACCAGGTGATGCGAGGAGAAAGAAATAGCTGATGTCTGTGGCACTTCTTCCTCTTTTCAGTATGGAACTGTGCCTCTCACATGGTCACTGAGTCACAAGCAAGCTCACATTGTTCACTACGAACTATGGTCAGACTAATTATGAAGGAGCATCTGTAGACAGACTGGTCTGAATCCATCAAGGAAAGAACGGGGTAAAGAACAAAATGTATCAGCTATGCAGCAAGTAAATTGAGAACCAGAAATGAGAGCCATTTGCCGTAAGAATTTTATTGCACTATGTCTAAGTGCTGAACCAGCTATTGTGTCTATTAGGCCCCCCCCCCCCACTCCATGTCTATGAATTTCTGCACCTATATAATCATTGTGTTTTATCAATTTAGTTAAGTTTGCAGGGCCATAGTACAAGCTAATATAGTATATTATCAAAGTAAAATGAGGAGGAATACAGTTATATAGACAGCATGTAAAACAGGGTCTTTTATTGTTCTTTAATTGTTCTTTAAAAGTATTTGGGCTTTGGTTTATAATCTGGCTACAACCCTTTTCCCTCCAGTCCTACATCTCCCATCTGTCAAACCAGCTTTAGCTAACAGTACGTGATTCAGTTCAGAATCGAAGATTTTAATTTCACAGAATCAAAAATCCAATCCTGAGAACAATTCAAATGTTGGTTTGTTGTTCAGAGGGAAAGGGCCAATGTTAAATGCTTCCAGCCGAGGTACCCCTGTGCAGAATCAAACATTACTGATGATTTTCCTAACATGTAGGAATTAGTATCATGCATGCTTGTGCCTTGATTTTAACTGCAACACACACACACAGACACACAAACACACTGAGCATATTACACATTTTAAGGCAGGAAGGAGTTTGTTACTACATTAATACAGTTCAAGTCAAGGTACAGTATCTGAGCTTTGGGAAGGAGAAGTGCAGTATTTGATAGCCTTGAACTGACAAAGGGATCTTTTGGCATGTCCTTAAGTGGGAAGGCTTGAGTAGTACCATCCTTTTTGTTTTAACTTAAACACTTATAGAAACAGAATTTTAAAAATCCATTATTTGTTTTCTGAAAGTGTTTCTGCAATTTTGTTCGGTTACAAATCAATATTAAACTCTGGAATAGGAAAAGATTGTATATAGGCAGTTCTCATAACCAGCATCTGAGGTATTACTAAAGGGGCACAAGTCTGCACTTGCTGGCACTGCTGCTGGGACAGACAAATGAAAGCTTTTGGTGTTACACTGCAAGAAACCACAGGACAAGACAATCCTAAACCCGTGTTCAGACCTCAGTGGCTGATCAACATTACAAACACGATGGTGAGATGAAAGCACAAGAGATCGCTGATGTGGCAGGGCACTAAGCCTAGTTTTCCCATACAAATTGTGATGCCAGCTTACTGAAACTACCTCTCATAGGCCGTGCAAATAACTAGTCTTAGTTCTTAATTAATGCACTTAACCCAGCAAAGAAAATATCGCACTGGTGCCTAAACAATACATTCCAGCCCCACAAAAATCTGGACAATGATCACAACAGCCTACCTGGTTCTTAGGACAGAGGAGTTAAAAACTTCCTGTCTGGAGTCTCCATTAGTTGAGTAGGACACTTCTGGATTATGGATTTCTGAATATTCCTCCGCCAAGATATAATTTTTCTACCCAAATAGCAGAATGTTATTTTCTTAGCCAAGTTCTTTGGAGAAATATGATTTAGTCAAGCGCACACACCCACGTCCACACACGCAGAGTTTAAAAAAAAATACTCCCTCCGCCAATTAAAAAAAGCCTTTAGCAGGTTCACCAAGTGTATTAGAGTGAACTAATGGGAAAATGACCTGTCATTGGAAAGCTCTAAATACCCCACAACACAACCACCACCATATTTCTTGGAAAGGGCTCAGGTGGGCTTAAGGCTGTCAGACCACTCACCTATAGCAGAAAAGTTCTTCTCCCTATTTCTGTCTGCCAGCTGTCACCAATAAAGGGGGGAGGGGGTAATTTTTTTTTAAAAGGAAGTTCCAAAGGGAATTCCACATACCAGGACCTAACTATAAAGCATTGTCCCCGAACCAAGAACATGGTTTCCGCATAACCCAATGCTCTGCTGGTTTTCCTTAGACATAAACTTTACTTTATTTCATTTTTTTAAAAAAAGTTAAAAATACAGAAGGTTCAGAAACTGATTTTCTCCTGGCAGATATTCAAACTGCAGCCTGAGGAGAAAACAATCCTTCACTGAAATGTTTCTTTTTTTAATTTTATTATTTTTTTTAAATCATCACCACCATTAGGACAGAGGCTGAGGAGCACTGACTCCACCACTAATTTGATGACGTAGTTTGATTCCAGATTCACATTTCCAGGTGACAAAGAGTCCAGAAAACAGCCATGA